ATGCTATTCAGGTTTACTGAGTTGTGAATTAACACAGTGTGATGAATTGGACCTCATGAAGAATTCATGAGTTCTCATTTAACGCTAATTTTTTTTTAAAGGCCTACGTTAAATGACTTTAAAACCCTGGCTCAGACTGACAAGCACAAAAATTAAAGTTCAGAGAAAATTCAATCTTAAACCACACAGTCAAATTATACGAGAGTGCATTTATGCCCTTTCTTACAGTGAATACCTAAAGCCTGCAACACTAAAATAAAAATTTCAAGCTATTTTCTCATACTTCCATTTAATCAAACTTTAATGGCCCTTTGATCCTCAAACAAGAAAATATTTGTGCTTGTCACGAAGAGTCTGCTATACGCATGCCAGACAGGTAAAGGATGCCTCTGTCTCTGTGGAGGATCCAACACTCCCTCCCGAGTGACACCACAAATGTCTTTTCACCGTGGTTGGCTCGACCCATGTTGAAAACATTTAGTTGGCATTGATTCTTCATATTGCAAGTGAAGAGGTGTGGGGAAAACCAAGCTATTCTGAAGCTCTAAAAACCCTAATAGTCTTGGGGGTTGCAAGATGGATTAGTGGCTGGAAGTGCTTGCTGCTGCTGCTGAGCTAAGTCAACCCCAGAAACTACGTAAAAAAGGCAGATTTGGAGGTATGTCTCTGTAATTTCAGTATTCCTACAGAGAGATGGAAAGCGAAGATAGCAGGTTTGCCCAAAAGCCTCCAATACTCAGCAGGGCAGAAACAAAGACTGACTCACAAACAATGCAGAAAAATAGACTGGCCTCCTGAAAGTTGTCTTCTGAGCACCACACCACACGGTACCTGAGCCCAAATGTACACAGATGTCTGCTCTCTTTCTTGTGTTCTCACTTTCACATTCCCTTCCCTCTCTCATGATAATAAATGGTTTTTTAAAACTCAGAAGTTTTAAAACCAAGTGCCTGCCCCATCCCTGAAGCAGGCACCACTGTGATGAGCAAACATGTGATCAAGAGAGGGGGAAGATAGACCATGCAGTGGAGAGATAGGAGAAAGGAAGCCAAGTGGTTTGTGCACTGTGGAGTGAGGTGGAACTGGAGATGCAATGGTAGTGAGGAACAAGTGGGTCTGAGGAGCCTGTGCATGAGCCTGAGGCCATAGTGATGCCCAGGCCCTGGATGCCACCAAGGGTCATGGCTGAGCCATGTTGATGTCTGTAGCCCATATTGCCACCAAAGGGCACTCAGATGTCTGTTGTCTGGGCTTCTGCCTGAGATCATGTTGATGTCCAGGGGACATGCTAATGTAAGGGGAAAACTGATCTGAGTAGCCTGTGCTGCCACCTGAGGCCACGGTGGCATTATGCTCATGCTGCTGCTGAAGACCATGTCTGGGTCCATGGTCCTATTGCAGTCACAGTCTGTGTTTGTATCTGAGGCTAGTGTTACCATCAAAACCCAAGTAGATGTCTCTGGTCTGGGTCGCTGCCTGAGGCCATGTTGATCTGAGCACTGTGATGAGCTGGCCCAGCCCCTCACCAGACACCCAGGAGAGCTGTCCCTGTACCTGGCAGTACAGGAGAGCTGGCAGGCTGACCAACTCAGCTACCATGCAGGGCCAAATCCTGGGCTTTGAGCTGGTCCACCCCAACATCTGCTATCTTATGAGCTGCCAGAGTGAGTGAAGGGGTTGGTCCTGCAGAGCCAAAGCCCCAGGATCTCCATGACTCTGAACAGGATAGCACAAGGAGTCTCAGTGAGGGCCCAATATTGATAACGTTGCAGAAGTCAGAGGCCTGGAACCAGACCAATGACTCACTACAAAGAACATTTCCAAGTAAAGATGTTTAAACAAAAGGGTATAATAAAATGGAAATTTCTGGTTTATTTGGAGACTCAGGTTATAATGATGTTTTGCTGGGGCAGACAAGTGAAAGAATGTTTTGCTGAAGCAGACACATGAAAGGACGCATGATGTTTGGAAAGAATGTAAATATGACCCCACAGACAGTAAGCTCAAGCACTTTGCCCTACCTCATTAGTCTTCGCTGACAACACACATGTATTGGTTCACCTTACATTGCATTGTTGAGCTTTGCTTGTGGTGACTTCATAGAGAGAAACTCACTAAGAACTTCTTTCGAGGTTCCTGTGGCTGCCGTTGACTCGGGCTGACTGACGAGCCTCATGGTTTCTTCTGGATTGAACTACCCTTGTTGATTCATGTGCGGTGTCTGCAGAGCAGACTGGACTGCAGCTGCTGGTTTGTGTGTGGTGTCTGCCGAGTGGACTAGACTGGGAACAATGAAGACTGAAATTGTCCCCAAACAATTATTTTTAAACAGGTCTACTTCCCCTATATCCTAATAAACTTTCTTTTCACTACCTCTGGTAGGTGGTGGACTAGAGGAGAGGTTGAACCCTTATTAAAGCAGGATGTGAAAATTATACGCCTACAGCATCTGTGGGACACCCATGACACACTATCTTCCATGGTGGGATGACTGGGGGAAGTGTTTACAAGGGTGGAGGGCGCATATGGAAGGCCTTGGAAATGAATGAGACTGGGTGCATGAAGTGAAATTCACCAAAAATTAAAAAAAAATCTTTTTAAATCTTATAATTTGGGAGACAGTATATTTGGCAACTTTAGCTCTTGGTCTCACTGAAATAGTCAACGGACAATAGTTTTAAATGAGAGCAAAGATATTTTAGCAACATGACTGGATAGAAAAGTGCAAATTCACTCAAGTTAAATCTCAATACAGCCAATGTACTAAACACAAAGTTGAACTTAACAATAGTAGCATGGTCACTCATTCATTTCTGTAAATGCCACTTAAAAGACTTTTGATTTTTGAAAGAATTCAGAACCTTAATGCTTTTAAATAAACCTAAGCCTTTAAGTTAAGGCATTTTGTCAGAATTTTAGGGGCATACAAACTTAAATACAATAGCATAAATATCTAGTAGAATAAACAATGAGAAGAGAGACAATAACCTTTCAAAGCTTATTTTTCTGAAGCTTTGGGTAAAGAGGCAAAGACAGCTGGGAAATGAGGGGTAGAAATAATGCTAGCAGGTATCTGTTGGGGCTGTTATAACAAGGCACATAGGGGTCTTAAGACAATAGGAATTCATTCTTGAATTCTGGAGGAACTTCTTGGGAAGTTGAAGATCCTGGTGTTAGGATACTTTGTGTCTGATGAGAACATACTATCTAGTCACAGATACTAGCTTGCTTTATCTTCCTGGGATGGGAGGTAGGGCCTTACAAGGGGACCAGATAAACTTATAAGACCCTTGTGATCTGATGACCTGCTATGGGCCTCACCTTCTAAGCCAGCACAATGAGGCTAAGGCTGTCAAGACTGTATAGAATTCCCACAGGGACATGGATAGTCTAAGTCCCAAATACTGCAAAGGGTGGACACAAAAGGGTAAAGGGATGAATATACTCACAATACATTACAGACATACATGCAATCATCAATGAATAAATATTGTAAAGCTTTTTATTTCACTTAGATAATTTGATGCAGTAAGAAGAACTACAGTGCTAACAATAATTACATGTTGATAAGCTCACAAGGCTGGAGGTGGCCTTCCTCTTTGTGGAGCTCAAGGGTAGAATGCTTGCCTGGCTGGCATGTGCAGGGTTTGATCCCTAGGACCACACAGATATAGAATGTTCCTTTTGTATTGTTTATCACGTCTGTATAACATATATAGAATGCTAATTATTTGACATTCTAAAAACAAAGCTTGGGTTTTCTTAAAAAGAAAACTTAACAAATAACAATTAGTAGCAAAAAAATTGGCAATGCTGCTCACAATAATTCCTGTTACAAATAAAGAGGGCTCAGGGGCATAAGTCTTCTTCTCCAAACATAAGTACACATTGGGATACTATTCAAGCATTAGGATCAAATGCACACTGGAATACTATGGAAGCATTAAGGCAATTTTATTTTCTTTTAAAGATTTATTTGTTTATTAATTATGTATAGAGTTCTGCCTGCATGTATACCTATACACCAGAAGAGGGCACCAGATCTCATTACAGATGGTTGTGAGCCACTATGTGTTTTCTGGGACTTGAACTCAGGACCTCAGAAGAGGAGCCAGTGCTCTTAATTTCTGAGCCCTCTCTCCAGTCCAAGACCATTCTATTTTAATACACTCAAAGTAAAATGATGAAAAAGCACAAGACCATACTCATGGTATGATTTCACTTTTAAGAAAAAAAAAGTGTATGTTTAAGTGCATACACACACACACACACACACACACACACACACACACACGCACGGTAGAAAGTAAGTCTGAAAGAATATATACCAAAATGTAAACAGCAGAAAGTGATGAGAAATGATTTTCTGTCTTGGAACTTGATTTGTTGACCAGGCTGGCCTCATACTCAAGAGATCTGCCAGCTTCTGCCTCCTGAGTGCTGGGATTTACATGCATGTACACCACAGCCAGCAAACACTGTCACTTTCAAATCAGAAAAATAATAAAACTGTAACTATTCTGTCTAGAGAAAATTAAAAGTAATATTTAATTCTCTTGAAAATAAGGTTCATTTTATCACCAAACTACCGTGATCCTCTTTATCACAGGGAAAGACAAAACACTGGTAAATGTATCCCACCAATACAACTGAGAATTAAATACACTGTGGCCTTATCGAGTTTTACAAATACCTCTGGAAACTTTAGAAAATACCTCAGGATAAAAAGAAATAAGTTCATCCTAATTTTTGTGAAAGTCTACACATTTTGCTTACATTGAGATTTAGTCTCTAAAGAGAAAGTCACCCATACTTTGATATAACCAAATGGTCTACAGCTGATTATTGACAACATCTTATACATATTTATTACAAGTATAATGTATTCAAGGATATGTGTGCGTGAGTGTGTGTGTGTGTGCATACCCATAGATGACATGATTACAGGCATATATGGTGCTGGACCTATATGTTATTAAGTAATGAATGACAAATACCACTGTAGATACAAACAGCTTTATTTTTTTTTAATTATTTTGGGCTTTTTTACAAGAGCAAAAATATTCAAAGCAATCAAACTCATATTGCCTTATAGCCAATGGTTTCCTTAGGAAAGGAACACACAGTTGAATAACTTGTAATTCAAACAAATCAAGTCCCCACTCATTTCCTTCTTTTCTTTTAAGTCGGCCACAGTAGAATCATTTTGGTTAAATGTTTGTATTCTCTCTCACCTTTATTCATACTGAAATAATACAATATTTATAAACCAAACTATTTGCTGTTCAGAAAGCTAGAAATATTCTTCTACATAATAATTTTGATATGCTAAGAAACCACACAAAACTGGCATTTGCAAATGGATAAAAATAGGATAGACTGCTTGAAAGGAAACATAAATAATAATTTTTACCTAAATAATTTTAATTGAGTGAATATATTCATCTGATAATATAGCCTTTATCTTTGAATATAAAAGTGCTTAGATTACCTGTAATAAAAGTAACAAAAGTCTCAGAGAACTGAAAATAATTTAAATAAAGATGGTACACTGAGAATCAAAATGACTCCTATGTTGTCAGGCATGGAGGGAGGTGTGACTCTACTTGAATTCAGAAGAGGACTAAAGAAGGAGATGGAACACATAGACCTTCCTGCCTGAAGAAGACAGACTCTGTCCCTCAAAGGCTTCCATGTACCTTTATTTAGATGAAAATCACTGACAGAATTAGGTACCTCACTTAGACTTTGCAAAAATGCCAAGTTGAGATACTTTTCTTGACTGTCCTATCCCAGCTGTGACACTCACTAGAGAGCTCAAAACATTAGCAGGCTCCTTTTTGTAACCCATGTATAAAGGACAACACCTAATGTCCTGATGAATGCTGTCTGCCTCCTTTTAGACAGGGTCTCTCAGTGGCTCCATGCTCACTCAGTAGGCTAGGCCACTGGCCAGTGAGCCCCAGATGTTCTCCTCTACTGAATCCCCAGTGCCTACATTTCAAACACATGCTACCAAATCCAACATTTTACATGGGCTCTAAAGAACTGAACTCACGCACTGTACTAACTGGGTTATCTCCTCAGCCCCACCCAAGGGCACATCTTTGACAACATCTAGACCCCTAAGATTTCATACTAGTTAAAAAAATATATTGGGGTGGGGAGGGATAGAGGGTGGGAGGGAGAATAGAGGGAGAGAATGAGAACATAGCAACTGAGCTGAAGAGTTTTCATGGCCAGTTGCTCTGAAGCCTCACCCTAGGGTAGGCTCATTAATACAGTAACAGGGACAGTGAGCCATTTTCCTCTACAATCTGCACGAGGAACTCTCAGAGCGAGGGTAAGATATTGGGCTGAACCCCACCCCCAAATTCTGGTAGCAAGGATATACCACCTACAAGGAAAAGGGTATGCAGTATGCCTGGCTACCCAATGCCAAGGGCATATATGCTGACCCCACTCTACTTAATACTACTGAGATTACCTATCACGTTTTCAACAATCTTCCATCTCAGATACACTCACACGTTATCACTGAGGACAACTACATAGCAAAGAATGCACGATTTTATTTGAGGTGGACTAGTGATGTGTGGGTTTCTATAATGTTCCTTTCTCTAGGCCTAGGAGGATTTCAAATGACTTAATTTTTTAGTGTTTTAGTTGATTACTATTGGAGTAATCTTTATAAAAAGAAATAAAGTAACACTATCCTCACTGTAGGATAGGGTGCTCTCTGCAGGTCCAAGGCCAGACAGCTAGCACAGAAGGGTCTAGCTGAGAACAAGTAGGAAAAAAAAAAGCTAACCTGTACATCCAGCTTCCAGCCCACTTGAGGGGAGCCTCACTTCGCCATGTCTGATGTGCCTCTTTAACCAGCTGGCTGCCTGCCTCCTTGACAGCAGGCATTTGGTGAGCAAGCAGAAGGCCCAACATCACAAGAATGAAAGTGAGTAGCTGGTCTCTATTCTGAAGTACCAATGGCAGTGCTTATTCTCCGACCCACAATCAGAAGAGAAATGCAGAGGCTATAGGCCCCACCAACTCCACTACGGCTTGTGCACAGCTACAGGACTAGTTAATAACCACTTCTATCTCTAATCACAAAAGAACGTCTGAGTTCCAGAGAATGGAAAGTAGGAATCTATTTTCTTTGGATAAGCCTTAGATCAAGCAGGAGTTACTATGTTTCTTTAAAAAGTTGTTTCTTAGATTTGTAGAAATAGAGCAAACACCACTAAGATCACTGAATATTTTATCATCCAAACTGAGATAACTCTAGGGCACAAGGGAACACTAGTGACAGGGAAAACAATTATGCCAAGACAACAGACATAAGCAGGACCATCCTGGACAGACACCCAAAGTGAACAACTGATGTTTGCAATGTTTACATTTCCTTTAGAGGTTGTCTACTAATAATACACTATAACACTGGACGAATTTAATATCAAACAGAGTAACAGAGTTTTGGTTTGTGGGAAAGGCACATTTCCTGGTGATGGAATGTGCTCTTCACCTTTGACCCCACCTGAATTTCCCAGCATAAGCTAATGTGGTTCTCCACCTTCCCAGTACTGCTATCCTTTAATACAGTTCCTCACATTGTGGTAAACCCTCCCCCAACCATAAAATTATTTTGTTGCTACTTCATAACTATAATTTTGCTACAGCCCTTATCTAACATTCGGCCCCTATGGGTGTCATGAACCCACAGGTTAAGAACCACTGGTCTAAAAGAATAGTCTCTGTGTCAGAATTTCTCCAGCACAAAACAGTAACTGTGAGGAAATTACTTAGATTTACTTCTTCATTTTCCTTCCTCATATATTTACTGGAGACATTTAGCATACTTTGTTCCATTTAGCAACTTCAAAAGGACAAGTCCCAATTAAAGGACTAGATCATAAAGTATTTTAAAATCTTTATATTAAGCACAAGATTCTCATAAATACAATTCCACAAAATACTTTTAAAAAGCTCTACGAATGTACTTGGTGAGTGGCTGCAGGAACTGAGACGCAGGCAGGACTGTGGCAGGAGAGCTCAGGCTGGTGCTGGGCTGTGGCACAGGCCTTCAGTGTCTGAACAGCAGCATCCTCTCCGAGCACTTCTGCCCTACGAGGTTTGCATACTCCAGCACAGCGGCCTCCTCACTTGGGTCTTCTTGGTGGTTCTTATAAACACCATAAGGCATGGCGGATCGTCTGTGAAACACCCGTAGTCGGTCAAGTTCCTTACTGCGCCCTTCATCCTCTGCAAAGAAACAAATACAGGTCAAAGACCACCATACATCAAAGACATACACATGTAACATTCAAGTGTGTGATCTGAAACATGATGGACTAGCAGATCCTGTTGTGCAGCATGCTCATAAGTATGTTCTTAAGAATAAACAGGAGGATTTTAGTGAGAGGCAATAAGCATTCCCTAGCATACTAGCCAAAACAGAGTATCAAAGAATTGCATTGAACTGAAATCCACTCTACCATATTCTACCCTTGTGATTTTCTGAAATGCAGTGGCATCTGCAATGCTCCTGAATATTTCTAGAGTCTACATCACATCTCCAGTAACTCTCTAGTTCAACACGCTACCTGAGGCTTTGACTCTGCATGGAAACTTAAGGCCAATTTAGCAGGCATAAAGAGGCCTGGCTTTTGTGGAGGGAAAAGGGCAGATTCTCACAGCTTCCATAGAAGACACAGCACAGGGTGCTGTGGCTGCTGCTACTGAGCTTTCTCAGCATCCATACACTAGAGCCCCTTGCCTGTATCAAGGCATACAACAACCTAGAAGAACACCTGTGCCCCTGCCTTCCCTGAAGTGGCTGTGGCCTATGCCTCAGTTCTGGTCAGCACAAGTAGTGCTGAGACTGCAAGAGCCTTTCAGAGAAAAAAAGCTCATCTGTACCTTCCTTCAGGCTATAGGCTATACATGGACCAACACAAGGGCAGGATCCCTAACTTCTGCCTGGGAGCTTGCCTTTGGTTTAGTTGAGAACAAGACTGGTGGGGGACGGGGCAACCTCTGACTTAATGGAACTGTCATGTCACCTGAGCTGCCTACTCCTACATAGTTACACAAAATGTTTAAGCCAACATTCCTCTAGAGTCCTATTACTGGACTCCTTGCTGGTTCTAATCCAGAGAGAGTGTTACACTATATCTATTAATGTGTATACTCATTTAAATCACTGAACCATGCTACCTATAGATGACTTCATACTGGAATTACCAAAGGAGGATTTTAGGAGCCTCCAAACATTGTGGAATCCTTCTGCAGAAATCACAATTGAAAACTAGTCTGAGCGAACCTTAAGCACCAGGGTTTTCTAAAGTATTTAAGTCCTGCTCTTAAGCTGGGCAACACCCACAGAAATGCTTCTGTGTATACGTTCTCACAACGGTATCTGGAAACCACACACCCCAAAAGTCTAATGGTGAGGAGCTGGTTAAAGATAGCAGCATAGAAGAGAACAAAGGCAAAGAACAGAAACTGGTAGGTTCTGAAAGTCCAGTGAAGGTAGTGTGAGTCTTAGGATGAACGGGGCATGGTGGAGTACTCCTGTGATCCTAGCACTTGGCAGTGAGAAGCAGGAGGATCATAAGGACATCCTGGCTACATAGAAAATTCTAAGTCAGTCTGGGATACACAGCAAGACTCGTCCAAAAAAACACAATACAACCAAACAAAAATGTTTAGTATACAAGGGTTTCATATAGTGAATTTTGGAATACATGCATACTTGTAGAGCGACCTGGGAAAGGAACCCAAGCCAATGTGTGAATAAAGCTCACTATGCTTTCTACTCAACAAAACCAGACCCAGAACATATTATACAATGTAAGCATGGCTGTGATCTACCATATAAGGTTGGAAATGGAATTTGTAACTAAGCCACAAATATTTCAAGTTTCTTCTTCCTCAGAAGCTGTTGCTATAAAGCAACATCAAACTAAAGAGAACTCACTGTAGATTGATTCAGGAAAGAGAACAGTATTCCTCAGATGCCAGAAGCAGAGAAAGTGCCAATGTACTGTCTGTCTGTCTGTCTGTCTGTCCATCCAAAGCACAGAGAGAAAGGGAACCCATCCAACCTCAGACTCCAGGCCTGCCTACAGGTCTGAAGCTGAGCATCATTCTGTCTGTCAGGTGTCATGGCCTGTGGCAGTTTATGATCACCCTCAAGGAAGGCAGAATTATTTGGTTTCTTAAAAAGTTTACTTATTTAACATGTTCAAATGTTTTGCCTGAATGCAAATGCACCACCTGTGGGCCTGCAGAAGTCAGAAGAGGATGTCAAATCCTCCAAATCCTCCCAGGATATGGAGTTATGAATGGTTGTGAATCACCATGTGGGTACTAGGAATCAAACTGGGGTATTCTGTAAGAGCAACAAGTACTTTTAACCACTGAGTCATCTTTCCAGCCCCAGACTTATCTTAGTACATCCTATATTGCTAATACTAAAACCAATTTAAATCTAAATAACAACAACAAATCCTATTTAAGATACTTCAAACACTAAAAATAAATTTATTTACCAAAAGAGGAAGAATGTATCTTAAATTCTTTTTTTTTAAAAAAAAAAATCCTTTTATAATCATCTTGTAGTGGCTGTGCTATAGATCAGTGCTTAAGGACAAAAATCTACAGCCCTAAACCAACAAGGCAAAAAGGCCTTTCCTTGATGGCACATGAAGAGACCAAGGAGCAAGGCATTTGATATGAAAGGTGGTTGTCACTGGAACTAAGGAAAGTGGCAGCTTACTGAGATGTCATAGAAATATGTTCCAACAAGAACCTCAAGATCGGAATTCTGCCCTGTCAGAGAAGGCCTTCTTCCTTTTATTAGAAACAGCTTAGAACAGCCATTAATCATAAAAGGAGGTGGTAATGGCTCTGGGAACCATCTCCTCTGCAGTAGAAAGGACATCCCAGAAGCCTGTGGGACTTCTGTTTTACTTTCTGTTTTGGTGGTGCGGAGGACTGAAGCTGGGGTCTTAGACAGGCTAAGCAAGTGCTTACAAACCCATTATGGGTCTTTAATATTGCAAATAATATGGTTCTGATTCTATCACCAGCCCACCAGATTATAATGAGACTTAATATGATCAATATATTAACTTACTGAAATAAAAATTTGTTTTTTAATAGTCCCACTATCACACCCTGACTATTAAAAAGGCACAGTAACACCTGGTAAACACGCCTGTGTCTATCAGACTTCTGTGAGCCTTTCCTCACATATTTTTGGGGAGTGGGCGTGGGAGGGTAGGATTCAAGATAGGAATTCTCTCTGTAGCTCTCAATGTCCTGGAACTAGCTCTGAATACCAGGCTGTCCTCAAACTCGGGAATGTACTTGCCTCTGCCTCTTGAATACTGAGATTAAAGGGGTACATCCTCACTCACTGCAGGGCTGTTTCTTCATACCTTTTGACTTCACTAGGTTACAGATCACGACAGCTAATATGCTGCTTCTCGCATTTCTCCAAGCCTTCAAACCTTAGCTAAGACAACATAATTCAGCACTCAAATCAATTTAAACTTGTAATTCTCTTGGAAGTAATTTTATTTATTTAGCCAAGAAGGCCTATTATAAAGCTACTAACATTAAAAAAAATGACAAAACTTAGCTTTCTATTTTCAAAATAGCCTGTCTTTTCCTTTAAAAATCTTAAATTGGGCTCAGCTGTTAAAAGTACTTGCTGCTCTTGTAGAAGACCAGGGCTTGATTCCCAGAATCTGCACAGTAGTTCATAACCATCTGTAGCTCCAGTTCCAGGAGATCCAATGCCCTCTCTTCACAAGCATCTACACACACAGTGCACATGCATACATATACAAATAAAATAAGTAAATCATTTAAAAATCTTAATTACAATTTAGACTTAGAATATGAACAGAATTCTGCCCACTCAGAAAAGTTAGGATAATCTAAAACCTCAAGCATTTAAAAAGAACACATATCTTCTAAGATACATTTAACAGAAACAGAGGAAGATGAATAGAGGAATTATACATTTAAAAAAACCTCACTGTTTAAAAAAAGAATGTATCAAGCTACTTAGCAATTCATTATCAATGAATTAATAAGTACTCAGTAATTGTCTCACTGCCTTTAAAACAGTCAAAGTAACCTGTGAAGGAATTCTGGTCAGCTTGAGCACGGCTCTGGCAGGCCTTGCCCTTCTCCCCTTCCCTCACTTCCCTTAGGCTAGCTAAAACTCACTAGATTACATACCTAAACCTAAACCCCAAAGGCTATTATTCCCTTATTTGGCACTTTCCCCTCCTGAGGCTGACTACTAAGGGCCAGCTATCCAAGAATTGAAGTCCAGCAATCAAAAGCCTCCTTTGGCTCACGTAGTTAAGATGCTCAATTATAATTAAACACCTCATCCTAACACAGGTTTCCCCTTGTACCTTTATAAACTACCATTTTCCCATGTGCCACTTCTGTCTCCTCTCTACTCAGAGTCAGTCCTTTGTCCTGCTCCTTCTCAAGAGAAACACCCCCCTCATCCTTTATCTCCTGTCTTTGTCTCTTATTACCAACCCTTTGTCCCTCTAGATGGAGAACTTGGTCTTGAGGGTCCTGAGCATCTTTTCATGAATGGCTTATTCTGTTCAGAAAGTATCTACTTGAATTTGCTCATCTTCAAATTTGGCTGTCTTTTTACTGATTTGTATATATGTTCAAATATTGGGCTTTTAAGTACTTTCTCCTTTCGACTGTACTTTCAATTTTCTTTCTTTCTCCCTCTCTCTCTCTCTTTCCCTCCCTCCCTCCCTCCATCCCTCCCTCCCTCCCTCCCTCCCTCTCTCTCTTTTTTTCTTTCTTTCTACCTTTCTCTCTTTCTTTCTTCCGATAGGGTCTTGCCTAGAACTTGTTATATAGACCAGGCTGGCTTCAAACTCACATAGATCCACCTGTCTCTGCTTCCTGAATGCTAGAATTAAGAGCATGTGCCACCAGGCCCAGCTAACTTTCTTAAGAGTGTCTGGAAATATCAAACAGTTTGATCTACTTTGTGTTTATTTTTTCCCTAAGAGTTTCAAATTTTACCTTAGTTTAGGTTCAATTCATTCTTAGTTCCTACAAATGTAAAGCTGGGGACCAATTTCATTTTCTGCATTTGGATATTCAACTAATAGTGTCATTTGGTGACAACACTATAATTCTTGTCTACCACTGAATGGTCTGAGTACACTTTTTGAAAAGTAATTAGTCATAAATATGAAGTCTTT